GGCGGGGCCCCGCGCTCGAGCCCGGAGCCGGCTACGAGGAACAGACGCCGCCGCCTCGGCTCCCGGGGCACACACCGCCGGCCCGCTCCCGTCACCCGCTCCTCAGCGCTCTCCCCGGCGTCCTCGCATTCCACCCTGCCCGGCGGGGACGCCGACAGTCGCCACTGAGTCCTCCCGACGGCAAAACCTGGGTCACTGTCCGACCGGAACCGCCATGTTGAGGCCGAACCCTGACCCACCAGCAGTACTACTCCCGGCAGCCCCCGCGCTCGCCCCTCACGTGACTCTATCAAAGACGCCGTGGGGGCGGGGAAGAGCTGAGGGCAGGGAAGCGGAGGGCGACGGAGGCCGGCTGGGAGATTGGAACCGGAAGTGATTTGACGGCTGTCCTCCGGCGAGGGGGCGGGGCTTGCGCCCGATTTTACACCGAGTTCTCCCCCTGGTTGGTACTCGGCGGAGCCGGGTCAGGAGCGGCGGGCGGACTGGCGAGCGCGCGCTGTAGGTGGTGCTGTCACAATGGTGGAGCCGTCTGCGCTCCCTTCTTGTTTGGCGTCCCAGAGCCTCTACCTGGCTGCAGTGAGCAACCTGTGTGGCCGTAATCGGTGCTTCCTGCCCGCTGGCTCTGCCTTTCGTTTGTCGCACGCGGAGCCGCGGGTGCTTGGGGTTCCTCTGAACTCGACCCCGCTTTTACACGTGAACTGCCACCCGTCTGAACTCAACCACTGAGCACAAAAGCGCGCCGTCGTGGGTGCTGCGACCGGCTCGAGGGCGAGGGCAGACGCCGGAGCCGCCGCCGCCTGGGCGTGGCTGCCAGTGTGGCGTCCCTGCGCTCAGCTTCCTCTCGGCTCGCCTGCAGCGCGCGGTGCAGGTGTGGCAGCCAGTATTTATGTGCTCTGCGGTCCCGGTCCCGGCTGAGTGTTCATTCCTGCTTTTCACTGTGCAGACTGTCCCTATGACTAAGTAGAGGCGAATGAAATGAGGTTTGTTACTGTGCCGTTCATCCATTCGTCCGGATACCTCCCTGTTATGTGCCCGAAGTAGAAGGCAAGGAACAATGCAGCGCTTTACCCTGGTTGGGTGGTGCCTTGATTCAATGAGGCCTCCCCAAACTCGGTATCTCCAATTGTCTGCTTTTTGGTACGCCAGGCTTTACCATGGTAAGAATGAATGACACGTTGGGGGTATGCTTAGCTCCTGAAAACTGAGAAATGGGATGGAGAAAATGACAATAGATTATAATAACCCAAGATCCCTTCACTACAAATCAACTTAGCAAAAAACTACGTGCAAATTGAAGATCTGGAAATTAGTGCTCTTAGAATTATCTGTACCTGTGCACCTCCTAGAAATTCTCATATGCTCGAGGCTACCTGCAGTCACTCTTGAATGCTTCTGATCTCAATCCCTTACCTTTTTTTTTTTTTTTTTTTTTTTTTTTTTTTTTTTATTTTTAGCCTCACATACGTCCTTGACATTAA